TTGCTGCTGCAGCTGCTGTTGCTGCTGCTGTTGCTGCAGCTGTTGCTGCTGCTGTTGCTGCTGCTGCTACAGCTGGAGCTTCTGCTGGTGCTGCTGCTGCTGCATCTGCTGAGGGGTCTATCTGCCCCCCCTTCAATTCTGACGCAGCCTTAACACCTGCTGCTGCTGCTGCTGCTGCTGCTGCTGCAGCTGTTGCTGCTGCTGCTGCTGAAGCCCTCGGAGAGAACTCTGCTACAGGCGGCTTTGCTTCAGCAGCAGCTGCAGCTGGAGCATCCACTGCTTGCTGCTGCTGCTGCTGCTGCTGCTGCTGTTGCTGTTGCTGCTGCTGCTGCGTCTCTTCGTCAGAAGCAGCATCACGGTGGCGTTGCCCTCGACTGCCACTCCTGCTGCTGCTGCTGCTGCTGCTGCTGCTGCTACCTGCAGCAGCAGCAGCAGCAGCAAGAAGCTGCCCCTGGCCCCTCTCCTCTGGAGGCAGCAGCTGAGTACGATGCGGGTGCGGGAGGAGACGATCCCCACACTGTTCTGCTGCTGCTGCAGCAGCAGCAGCACCCAGCGAGGCCTTTGCTGCTGATGCAGCCACAGCTCCTGCTGCTGCTGCTGCTGCTGCGGCAGCAGCAGGAACTGCAGCAGGAACTGCAGGCGACGCAGCACCAACCGGTGCTGCAGCAGCAACCGGAGCTGCAGCAGCAGCAGCAGCAGCTGCTGCTGCTGCTGCAGCATCCGCAGTAGACGGCGGCGCAGCGCCGTCTTTTCTTTCATCCTTACAAACAGAAGACATCGATACACCTTCAGCTGCTGCTGCTGCTGCTGCTGCTGCTGCTGGTGCTGCTGCTGCAGCAGCTGCTGCTGGTGTTGCTGCAGCTGCTACTGGTGTTCCAGCAGCTGCTGCTGGTGTTGCAGCAGCTGCTGCAGGTGTTGCTGCTGCTGCTGCTGGTGTTGCTGCAGCTGCTGCAGGTGTTGCTGCAGCTGCTGCAGGTGTTGCTGCTGCTGCTGCTGCTGGTGTTGCAGCAGCTGCTGCAGGTGTTGCTGCTGCTGCTGCAGGTGTTGCTGCTGCAGCTGCTGCTGGTGTTGCTGGCGGCTCCCACTCAATAGTGAGAAAAGAAGTTTCTTTTTGTTTTTCTTTTTCCTGTTTATTCTGCTGCTGCTGTTGCTGCTGCTGCTGCTGCTGCTGCTGATGTTTAGCAGCAGCAGCAGCAGCAGCAACAGCAGCAGCAGCAGCAGGAAGCGGCAGCGGTGG